TTCAGCACCATTAGCTATGATTGATCATGGCTTGGCTAGCATGCAGATAGAGCACAGAGGCAGTGCTTGGAGGATGTGAGCTGCATAAACTCAATTGTATGAAACAAATATTTATTTCTTTTGATTATTTAATTACCTATTATTTTATTTATGTGTGTTCACGGATGTATGTATTTGTGTATTGGGATGCTCCAAAAAGCCAGAGAAATGTATACGCTCCTCTGGAGCTGGGGTTTTAAGCTGTTTGTTAGGTGTTTGGTCTGAGTACTTGGAACCAAACTCAGATCCTCTGTAAGAGCAGTAAGAGCTCAGTCACGGAACCGTCCTCATGCGCTAAAACACTGTGAGTGGGCAATGTTAACAGCTGATGTGAACTCTAATCAGTAAGCTTTTCTGTCTTGCATGTATATAAGCACACCAGAATCGGGCATATAAAAATGACAGTTTTGACCATATTTTAAATATTCCAAAAACAAAGAATGCTTGAGAAATAAATACATTTAAAAACATGTATGCTAAAAAATGTTTAAAATACTAGTGAAAGTTTTTGATACAATGGTAAGTCAGAAAAACACAACATTTTGTCAAAAAAAGTACGCCCATCAATGAAATGTGGCATGACATTTGGAAAAAAAAACATTAGTTTTCTTTGGAGTTAAGGCCCACTCTGTGGGAGGAAATACCTCATCTGGTGAAAAGCTTATGGCTGTAGGAGGTCATAGGCCTGAAATGGAACCCAACTACTAATGTTTTGTGAAATGGACATGTTGTCCAACTTTCTTCTAAATACTTTTTTCCAAATTTATTTATTTTTATTTTATGTGTGTCTGTGTTTTACCTACATGTTTGTCTGTGTGAGGGTGTCAGATCCCTTGAAACTGGAGTTACAGACAGTTGTGAGCTGCCAGATGGGTGCTGGGAATTAAACCTAAGTCCTCTGAAAGAGCAGTCAGTGCTCTTAACCACTGAACCATCTCTTCAGCCCCCCAAATATATATTTTATACCCATTTTTATTGCTGCTCTCAACTTGGTTAGAGAAGCTTCTTTTGGCAGGTGGTAATGATTAAAGCAAAGATTCAGAACTGGTAAATGTACTGAGAAAAAAATATCTGTTCAGTGCTCAGCCACAAAAGGGACCTTCTATATCAACCTCTTAAAGGGCCAGGGAATTATCACAGAAAAGGGGGCAAAAACATTGTAAAAAGGTGGACTGCTCTGAAACACTGTCTTCTGGATGTGGCCTGATTATGGCAGTCATGAGTACACAGGAGTTGTGGGCACCTGCACAAGAACTGCACAGACTGGGACATTCAGCGTTTTATCATGTCATCAATGACTAAACTCCACCCCTTCCAGAAGCACCATTGGCATTTAATGGTTGTCAGTGGTTGCCAAGTTATCCTTTTGTTCAGTGTTGTACCCATTGGCAAGTTGCCCATGCTCTAACAAATAACCTCTATACATGTTCATACAGGTGACCCTAATTAAGCTCGATGGATTAAAAGAAAAAGATATGACAGTAGGAAAGAGAAGACAAAGAGTGAGAGCGCAAATAGGTGAGCAATGAATTAAATCATGATACATTGTATACATGTATGAAACTGTCAGAAAGAAACATTAAATTTTTAAAAGGCACAGTCATGAAACTACACTTTCAATGACAGTCTGTCAAGTTTTGATCCCAATTTTATAAATACATGGGTACATTCAGAGATAAAGCAAAGAAACATTTAAGGAAACATACAAAACTTTTAACAAGACTTAACTCTGGGCTTACCAGTATTTTTAGTGGGTTTTGTTTTCAAAATAAAAGTAAATCTGTATTGATTTGTAATTAGGAAATATTTTTAAAGCAATAAACTTTACATTCTAAGATTCTGTTTATCTATGAATTATTTCATGTCCTGATCAGGAGTAAGCCTCTTCTTTCCCTCTTTTAAATTTCCTTCAAGTATGAAAATATTGATCTACAAAAACAAAAATAGCAGATGCTGCAACTCTAGAAATCTGTGTATTTTGACATATTTATTTCATGCATAAACATATAGAAAAATATGGAATTTTATCAAGGAGTAGTCTATCTTTTTTCTGTTACTATTTCATTGTATTAACTTTAAAGAAAATTGCAAATATCAACTACTGAGCATTCGTCTGTTGGAGAGGCACTGCCCAGGGATTAGGACACGCAAACAGCTGCTTCTGGCATGGCAACTCTCTCATCAGCCAAGATACTGCTTGGGAAACACCTGTGAGGATAAAATATGTATACACTGCTGCCCTCCAGTCAACGGCAGCTATAGAATCTACCTCAATAAGATGATTTTCCTGGTAATTTTCTATTGTCAACCTGACACAATCTAGAGATGCCCGGAAAGAGGCACGTTCCATTAAAGCCTCACATCAGCTTGGCCTGTGAGCACATCTACAGGCATTTTCTTGAGTGCTAATTGATATAGGAGGCTCCATTCCACCGTGGTAGCATCGTCCCTAGGTAGTAAGTAGTCCTGTGTTATATAAGAAATATAAGTGAGTACAAGCCAGAGAGCTGGCAGGAAGCAGTATTTTATCACAACGACAGAAAAGGAAACTAGAATAATGTGCTACCCTCAAGTCATTCCACTGGCATATGTTGCCAAAGGGGACTTAGGTTTAAATTCAGATTTTCATTTAGGAAAGATTTCAGAGTAAGAATTTTATTGGGACGGAAGATAAACACCTCGTCCTGAAGCTGCCTTCAAACAATCCTAGGCTCAAATCCTAGTTATTCCACTTATTTTCTCTGTAGTTGCACAACTGTTTCCTTTCCTTTGTTTTATTCACTTTCAAAATAAGAGTTTAAATAGCCAACAACAATGAGTATGAGAACCAAACACAGAAATATAAGCAACTTATCTAGGCCATAGGTATTTGGATTCTCCAGTAAATGACAGGGCATCTGGGGGTCATAGGTTGGATTCTCCGAGGTAAGACAGCAGCGGGTGCTATCTCAGGCAGCACAGAGCTTGGAGAGCGGAGAGGACAAAAGTCAAGCCTGAAACATTGAACAATGCCTTTTTCCCCCAACCGTGGGAAGTGGGCACTACTGGAATGCCCATCAGTTTAGTTTATTGTGCTGAGGATAGCTTTTGCATGAAGTGTAATGGACCAACTTGGAGTTCATCAGTTATTTAGAGGTACCCTTTTCAGTGCTTTATATTTGTTTCCTATGTGTTCGTGTTGGTATGTATAAGCTGCATTATGATGTCTTTCTTACAGTGGGTTAAGACCCCCAGCCCCCCCCCCAAAATGAAAGCTACTTCTTTAGGAAAAAAAAACCAAAAACAACAGTATGATTGCTAATCGTGGTTCTCAACTTGACTATAACTGGAATCAGCAAAAATCCAAGCTCCTGAGCATTCTTGTGTGGGATGTTCTATGCCTTTGTCTTCTTCTCCTCCTGCTTCCTCTTCTTCCTCTTCCTCTTCTTCTATCTTTTATTGGTTCTTTGTGATTTTCACATCATGCATCCCAATCCCACTCACACTTCCCTCTCCTCTACCCTTGCAACCTCCCACCAACAGAGAAAAAAAAATCTCATTGTGAAAGCTGTAATGTGCCACACTTTTGTCGACACTTCTTTGCTTGCAAATGTTCATTGCAATGACTTGTTGGTCTGACTCGAAGGCTTTTGGCTTCTTCTACTCTATCTAACCTCACTGAGACTCCTTAATGATGTCTTGCTATTGCCCTACAACCCACCACAAACAGGGCCAGCTGGATGTGCTGTTCAAGTAGGTGCAGGGCCTGCTCCTCACCCCCTAGAGCTGCAGCAGGTGAGGGGCAGAGCCAATGCTCTCATCCGATGATCTCAGGGCCAACTCTCCTGCCTGCTTTAGGTGGCCAGGGGTGAGAGAAGGGGTGGCATCTTTACCTTGTGTATGTCACCACATGGCAGACAAGTGGTGGGGCCAGCTCTCACTCTCGCACGCTCACACCCTCAAGGTCAGTTTGTCTGCTCCACTGTGCTGCCTAGGTGAGGTGCAAGCCCACTCTTCCTAGTGCTGCAGCTGGTGAAGGGTAGGGACAACTCTCCTGGTCTCATGACCCCAGGGACAGGTTTCTGGCCTGTCAGAGGTGGTGAGGGACCAGGAGAGAGGAGGGTATCTCTCGCTCATCCATATCCCACAGAGGAGAGAGTAGTAGGCCCAGATCTCCCACACTCATATTCTAGGGGCCTGCTCACCCACAACTTGCAAAATGTGCAGGGGCTGCTCTGTTGGGTACTGAAGCTGGCTAGGGGAGGATGGGCTCTCCTGTTTTCTTGTGCCCAGGACCAGCTCTTCCATGATGCCCCAGTAAGGGGTGGGGCCAGTTCTGTATGACCCTCAGATATCAACAGGTCCCCGATGGCAGCCCAGGCCAGGGACGTCCATCTGGTCTTTCGTGGCAACAGATTCCTGCTGCTGCAAGGTTGTGGACTAAGACATGGTCAACAATGGCAATACAGGCCACGACCCACCATGGGCCCAGTTGGTATCACCAGCTATTCTTCCTCACTACCCCAACTCTCCAATTTTGCCTCTCTTCATTGTGCCCACATTCTTCTGTTTCTGTTTTTTCACCACTTACTTGCTGCTCTCAGTGGACTCTGAGGTGGGTCATCTCAGGGGTGGGTCATCTCAGGGTTGGGTCATCTCAGGAGTGGTGAGTGCCATGCTGTGCTCTGCGGGTGTGTTATGGAGCTGGGCAGGGGTCATCTTAAGCATGCTTTCCCCTGTCTCCCAAGGTCTGCCTGGTACCGGACTGTTGTTCCACTCAGGCTAATTCCCTGTCTGGGTCCCATGGTGCTTGTCTGGCCCTCCAGAGTGGCCTGTAGGGATAATTGTCTCTTTAGGGCTCACTCACGCCAGTGGTCGTAGCAGGGGTCCCTCTAGTCTCTGGCTTGCTCCCTCTCCTGGGAGCCTGTCTGGCCTGTCTAAGGCCAGACTAGTGGTCATCTCAGGCTTTCTTTTTGTCATCGAGTGTCAGGCTACTAATCATACAGATGTCCATAGGTTAGAAGACCGAGAGTAGACATGGACGATCTCCTCTCTGCCACCCACTGACGCACATGTGACACAGCAGCCACACCTGCAATACCGCTAGGGGCAGTGATGGATTTTCTTTTCTTTTATGTGGATTTAGTTTACATCCCTATGGTTGACACCTTCTTCCTCCTGTTCACACCCTCTCTCCTTCTTCCTCTTATCCCCCCTTTCCTAATCCTCAGAAAAGAATTACCAACTCATCCTAGTGCATCATGTCACATTAACACTGAGCGCATCCTTCTCCCTGTGGCCTGGCAAGGCAGCCCTGCCAGGGTGGAAGTGATAAAAAAGCAGGCGACAGAGTCCCTGTAGAGACAGCCTGGACTACAGCTCCCCTTACTAGGGAACCCACATGAAGCTTGAGCTTCCCATCAGTCCATGTATAATGTTTGGTTGGTGCTTCAGTCTCCGTAAGCCTCACTGGGCCCTGGCTAGTTGGTTCTGTTGGTCTTCTTGTGGAGGTCCTCATCCTCCCTTCTATCCTCCCCCAGCTCGTCCACAAGTCTCCTTGCACAACTCCCAATGTCTGGCTGTGAGTCTCAGCAAATTTTTCAATCCCCACTGGGTGGAGCCTCCAAGCAGACAGCTATATTAGGTTCTTGTTAATTGGGTCAGGGGGACATCCTCCTCCACTTCTATCTGATCAGGACTGTCTTGGACTGGGGAGAGGGATATTCCATTGTGTAAATGTACCACAATTTCTTTATCCATTCTTTGGTTGAGAGGTGTCTGGGTTGTTTCTGGTTTCCGGCTACTGCGAATAAATCTATGATCATGGCTGAGCAAATGTCTTTGTTGTATGGTGGAGAATCTTCTAGGAATATCCCCAAGAGTGGTACAGCTGGGTCTTGAGGTAGAGCTATTGCCAGTTTTCTGAGAAAGCACCAGTGTGATTTCTAAAGTGGTTGTACAACTTTGCACTCACACCAGCAATGGAGGAAGGTTCCTCTTTTTCCACATCCCGGCCAGCATGTACTGACACTTGAGTTTTTGAATTTAGGCATTCTGATAGGTATACAATGGAATCTCAAAGTCGCTTTGATATGCATTTCCCTGATGACTAAGGACATTGAGTATTTCTTTAAGTGACTCTAAGCCATTTGAGATTCTTCTGTTCAAAATTTTCTGTTTAGCTCTGTACCTCATTTTTAATTGGATTATTTGGTTTGTTGGCATTTAATTTCCTCAGTGCTTTATATATTTTGGATATTAGCCCTTTGTCGGATCTTATCCCAATCTGCAGACTGCTGTTTTCTTGTATTGACAGTGTCCTTTGCCTTACTGAAGCTTTTCAGAGGGATTTTCTTAATGAGATTATCTAAAGTAGGAGGACCCACCATAAATCTAGGCCACACACCTTCTAGGGAAAGCCCACATTAAAAAAAAATTGAAGAAGAAAACTGCTGTTATCTCCTTTCCCTCATTACCTAGAAAGTTCATCTATCCTGTTGTGGTGGCCAGTATTAAATCCATTGTCTTCAGGATCCAACATAGCCTGAAAGCCAGAAGCTGTCCAAGGATCCCTACTCCCATCTCAAGCACCAGACTGAGACTTCAGAGACCTTCAACCTCACAGACAGAACATCCTGTATGCCAGTGTATTAAATCCCCCTTTAATATACATATATATTCATTCTATCAGTTGTGTTTCTTTAGAGACTTCTGCGTAACAGCGCTAGGTCCTGAAGTCACGATCCAAAACTCATATCCTGATGATTCAGAGTTAGAGGAAAGCAGAGTAAGAATTGATCAGAAGCATAGATGTCAGATTTCCAGAACAACTCTGAATGTACAAAGAACCTAGCTGGCTTGTCACAAGCAAATCAGACCCTAGGGCATGATTCCCAGGAAACTGAGTGAAGGCCATCTCCTTTATATTCCTCAAGAAAACCTCCAGGCCCTTCAGTTTGGCCACCCATGGCCTCATTTACATCCTGCTCTATGGCTCTCCTCACCTGGAGCACTATCTTATCCTCCTTCCATCACACATACCTGGGGCATCTGCTATCCTCACTCCTCCCTGCCTCAGCTAATTCTTCAGACTCAGCTGCCATGCTTCCTTCCCCATTTCTCTTCTATGTAGCTTCAAACCCCTACCCTAGTATATTTCTAGACTAATCCCAAAACTTCCACACCGAGGGTACCCCATTATCTTCCCCCAGATGGAATTGATTTCCCCCAGACCAATGTGTGGAATCACAGCAGACAGCTTTCAGGGGTTTTCCACATCTTTCCATTTGATCAGCTTACATTGTATGTCAGACAACAAAACTGTGGATGAATTGAAGCCTCCTTCCTTGGTACTAGACCCTCACCTTATACTAACATCAGGCCAAGAGTTTTGCTGCTTAGGGTATCTCATAGTTTCTGTGTGTCTACCAGCACTCATGTGTGATTGACCACAGAACTTTATTAGTCTCAATAGCCTGAGCCTATCTTTGTCATATGTGAAACTATCTAAATGTCCTTATGGGTACCAAATATACTACCAGTAATCCATGAAATTGTTTGCTAAAATAAAGCCAAAATTTCTGCCTGCTAACCATCTGCTTTGTCCACCTGGGTCACAGACAATGAGTCCAGCAGAGACAGCAAGCCCAGCAAAGATGAGGTGGTGTGGGACTCAAGCTCCACTGTCCCCCATCGTGATGGGGTCCTGTGGGACGCTGAATCAACATTTGTATTGAAAGTCTTTCTGCCTGCTCCCCATCTGCCTGGCCCACCGGGGTCATAGACAGCAAGTCTAGCACAAGACCCATTGTTCTTCATCCGAAGGAGGCCTTTGGGGTGCTGGAGGAGCACCTTTTCACCTTAGAGATCTTTCCACCTGCTCCCCATCTACCTGGCCCACCTGGAACACAGACAGTGAACCCAGTGGAGGGACCACCATTCTTGCTAACACCAGAGTGAACCATATGGTTAGAGTCCAGCGTAAGCACAAGCAACAAAAGTCAGAACCATATGACAGCACTGGAAACCAGCAGTCCTGCCACAGCTAGCCCTGGAGAAAACATCACACCCGAAGCACAAGAAAAATATTTTAAATCTAAAGTTATGAAAATGATAGAGACCATAAAGGAGGAAAGTAAATCCCTCAAAGAATCACAGAAAAATACGATCAAACAGGTAAAAGGATTGAACAAATCTCTCAAAGAAATTAAAGAAATACAGAAAACTACAATCAAACAAAAGAAAGAAATGAATAAAACTGTTCAAGATAAAAAAAAAAAAGAAAAAAAAAGGAACTAAAAGCAGTATAGAAAACACAATCTGAGGCAATCCTGGAGATAAAAAAACCTTGGAACTAGAGACACAATCATTACCAACAGAATACAAGAGATGGAAGGGAGAATCTCAGGGGTAGAAGATACAATTGAAGAAATCGATACATCAGTCAAAGACAATGTTAAATCTATGAAGCTCCTGACACAGAATATCCAAAAAAATCTGGGACACTATGAAAAAAACCAAACCTAAGAATAATAGAACTAGAATAAGAAGACTCCCAGCTTCAAGGCCCAGAAATATTTTCAACAACAACAACAAAAACTTCTCTAACCTAAAGAGAGGCCTATATGCACACAAGAAACTTACAGAACACCAAATATAATGGACCAGAAAAGAAAATCACCCTACCACATAATAATAAAAATACTAAATGTACACAACAACAACAAAAGAATATTAAAAGGCTGCCAGGGGAAAAGACCAAGTTACATATAAAATAAAACCTATCATAATTACACCTGCTTACTCATCAGAAACTTGAGAAGTTAGAAGGACTTGGACAGATATCTTAAAGACACTTAAGAGACCACAGATGTCAGCCCCGACTACTATACTTAGCAAAACTTTTAATCACCATAGAGGGAGAAAAACAAGACATTCCATGACAAAAACAAATTTAAACAGTACCTATCCACAAATACAGTCCTACAGAAGATACTAAAAGGAAAACTCCAACCCAAGGAGGCCAACTGTAACAAAGGTAACACAGGTAATAAATAACCCACATTAGAGAAACCGAAAGAAGGGAATCACACAGAAACAGTCTATCACCACCAACATCAAAATAACAGGAAGTAACAATCACTGGTTGTTAATATCTCTCAGCACCAATGACATCAACTCCCCAATAAAAAGACACAGGTTAACAGAATCTATACAAAACAGGACCCATCTTTCTGCTGCATACAAGAAATACACCCCAGCAATAAAGAAAGATATTATTTCAGAGTAAAGGGAAAGAAAAAAGGTTTTCCAAACAAATGGACTTAAGAAGCAAGCTGGAGTAGCCATTCTAGTATCTAATAAGATAGACTTTCAACCAAAATTAATCAAAAGAGATGGGTAGACAGTTCATGCTCCTCAAGGGAAAAATCCACCAAGATGAAACCTCAATTCTAAACATCTGTGCCCCAAATGCAAGGGTGCCATAATTCATAAAACAAACATCACTAAAGCTTAAATCACACATCAAATAGTGAAACACTTCAACACTCCACCCTCTCCAATGGACATAACATCAAGACAGAAACTAAATGGAGAAATAAAGAAACTAACAGAAAATATGAGACAAATGGACCTAACAGATATCACAGAGCATTTCACCCAAACAAAAGAATATATACCTTTTTCTCAGCATCTCACAGAGCCTTCTCTGAAACTGACCATATACTCAGTCACAAAGCAAGCCTCAACAGTTATCAGGGAGTGGTAAATAATCCCCTGCATCTTATCAGACTACCATGGATTAAAGCTGGAAATCAACAAAAACAGAAACAACAGAAAACCTACAAACTCGGGGAAACTGAAAAACTCCCTCTTCAAGTACCACTGGGTCAGGGAAGAAATAAAGAAATTAAAAACTTTCTAGTATTCAATGAAAATGAAGGCACAACATACCCAAGCTTATGGGACACAATGAAAGCAGTACTAAGAGAAAAGTTCATAGCACTAAGCACCTTCACAAAGAAATTGGAGAGATCCCATACTAGTAACTTAGCAGCACACCTGAAAGGTCTAGAAAAAAAAGCAAACACACCAAAGAGGAGTAGATGACAGA